AGGCCTTTAAGGACTCAACAAGAAGCCTCATAGGCAAGAGCTTCAAAAAGTTTGTGGGAAAATTCCATTATTGTTTAGTCCCATTTTTCCGTGAACTTTTGAAGCCCCTTTATATTTCCACTCTTCCAGTCAAGCAGAAAATCAGGACCTGGGTGACCAGTACCTGAACACAATGTGCCCACACTGCATTTGAGCACAATACAGAACTGTCAGATTTTCCCAACACTTTGAACATATAAATGTCTACTCTCTGGGCTTTCTTGTAACACACTTAAGTTTCAGCCCAGTAAGGATTTTCCTCATTGTCAAGCTGCAAATAACTGCAAGCTTCTGTGACCGACCTTCCAACTACGGAGTCCAAGTTGGCAAAGCTCACAGGTCACATTTTCACTTGGATGTGAGTCATCGGGAAAGATTAGCCCTTCTCTTAGACTCTGCAGACGTTCTTCTGCTTTAAATCCACTTGCTCAGTGCTACTTTCACTGCAGCGCTTCTTTTCAATGGTATAAAAAGCAATGACTAAAAAGAAGGAACGAGTTATAGGCAAAGCTATAATAGAATGAAAGTCTTAAAAGGATTATTTCTTAACCCACGTCGAAAGCATGTTGTGTAATTCTTCCCATAGTCTCTACCAAATAATTGTGAATTTGGATTCTTAGACAATGTATACAATTTAATCCTGTGTCATGAGAAGTCTGTAAAATGAGAAAATAAAGTAAAAAGAGGTAAATCCTAGTATTCTGGAATGATTCGACTTGCCAATTATGATGAAAGAAGTGGCCTTCTCTCAGACTCCTTGTTTTAATATTCATATAGACCTGGAGTTAGAAAACCAAAAGGTACAAGCATGCTTAGCATTCCTAAAGCTGAAAGAATTGAAGAAAAAATTCAAGCCTTTGTTTGTAATATTGCAGGATTCTATGCACAAAATAATGAGTGATACAGAAATCATCTAAAGAAGATGGAAGAAGGAATACAGGAAAACACTGCACCCAAAGAAAATGGTCATCATTTAGCCATTCAAGAGGTAGCATTTGATCAAGAACTGACTACTGAAGGAAGAATTCTAGGAATCAACGGAATACAAATAGAAATATTTCAGCAAACACAGAGCACTGGAGGCACTCACTTATCTATACCCACAATTTGGAAGACAGCTGCCTGGACAGTTGATTGCAAGATATCCCATATTTGTGCACAACCCAAAGAGGTAACCCAACCAAATGCAGAAATCATTGAGCAATGACATTAATATTACATGCAGGTAAAATTTTGCTGAAGATAATTCTAAGACAATAGCAACAATACATCAAGAGGGAACAGTCAGAAATTCAAGGTGGAGTCAGAAGAGGATATGAAACTAGAGGCATCAGTGCCTACATCAGATAGATCTTGGCTCAAACAGAGATTACCAGAAAGATGTTCACTTGTGCTTTATTTACTATGCAAAGGTATTCAATTGTGTGGATTCTGATAAATTATGGATAACGTTGCAAATAATGGGTATTCCAGAACAGTTCATTGTGCTCATGAAGAACATGTACATAGATGAAGGAAGCAGTCTTTCGACCAGAACAAAGGAATATTGAATGGTTTGAAATCAGGAAAGGTGTGTGCCGGGGTTAGCAGCCCAACTTGTAACTACTATACTACCAGAGCTCCTTTAGCCTCTTTGGTTATGTGCCATGGAGTCGGTTCCAACTCATAACGACCCTGTACAGGGTTTCCCAGGCTGGAAATCTTTACGGGAGCAGAAAGCCTCATCTTTCTCCTGCCAAACAGCTGGAGAACTGACCTTAAGGTTCGCAATCCTATTTGTAACCACTATGCTCTGGTAGCGTAGTGGTTACAAATCGGGCTGCGAACCTTAAGGTGAGCGGTTCGAAACTACCAGCTGCTCCGCGGGAGAAAGATGAGGCTTTCTACTCCCGTAAAGATTTACACCCTCGGAAACCCTATACAGGGTCGCTATGGGTCGGAACCGACTCGATGGCACATAACAACAACAACAACAATGCTACCAGAGCTCCTTATGGTGCTTTAAAAAAAAAAAAAAAAAACTTTTTTATGCAATGGGAAAAGAAAATGATTTTGAGATTAGGGCTAATATAAAATTTTAAACAAACTCAAGAGGGCACCTTCTCAAATCATAAACTTTTCAGTAAGTTTACGTGAATGCTGCCAACAAAAAATGGCAGTTTTTACATGGATCAAGCATTTTGAGGCAAATTGAGAAGATCTCAAAAGATTTGCTAAGAGAGGGAATACCATCAAGAATGCGACTCAGGCCCAGGAATTAGTGAAGGAAAACCAAAGAATTGATGCAATCGCTTCTGAAGTTGGGATCTCATATTGTTCAGCATTTTCAACTTTAAGGAGGTGTCTTGGCCTCAGCAAGCTTTGGACTGGATGGTACCAAAAGCGTTGCACAAAGATCAACTAGCTTGTCTTTAAACAATTCTGAAGCTAATGAAGACGATTTAATGATACAAATTGTAACTGGGAAAGAGTCATTGATAAAGCAATAGGATCCAGAGAGCAAGGTCCAGTCAAAATGGTGTCTTCAAGAGGAACTATCTGCTGGACTGCTAGCAGAGAGGTCAGCTCAGAAGATTCTGGTGACTCATTTCTGAGATTCCTAAGGGATAATCTTGATAGATTTTCGCAAAGAAAACAGGATGATTACTGGAGCTTATTATGACAAAGTGTTGGAGTCCTGGTGTGGCACTGTGGGTTAATGCGCCAGACCACAAAGCCGTTTGAACTGCAAGGTCAGTGGTTCAAGCTCACCAGTCACTCCTCAGAAACCCTATACAGGGTCACTATGGGTTGGAACCGACTTGATGGCACTTAACAACAACAACAACATTATGACAAATTGTTGAGAAAAAGTCCAGGAAAGTTGCTCCAAGGAATTTTATCAATCACAACAAGGTGCTTCTATGTTCTGCAAATGTCGAAAGGGCTGTCCTATGTAGGAATTTCCTTGGGAAATCTCATCCCACCCACCCTACAACCCTGATCTCACCCTTTAGTTTCTTTGAAGAACATTTAAAAGGAACACATGCTCTGAATACCTCAAGGATAAGTTTTGATGTGGTGTACATTGAAAAGTGTAGAATTCTTCTAAGAAGCGTTGCTAATGTTGTTAGGGTCCCTCGAGTCGGTTCCAACTCAGAACAGAACGAAACGCTGACCAGTCCTGCCCCCCCTCACGATTGTTGTTAGGCTTGAGCCCATTGCTGCTGCCACTGCGTCAGTACAGCTCATTGGGGGTCTTCCTCATTTTCACCTTACCACGTATGATGTCCTTCTCTAGGGACTGGCCCCTCTGGACAATCAATCCAAAAGTCTCATCATCCTGGCTTCTAAAGAACATTCTGGGAAATCATGGAACTTTTCATTTCCTTCTCCAGCATCACAACTTAAATGCATCAATTCTTCTGTGGTCTTCCTTATTCATTGTCCAACTTTTGCATGCATATAAGGCTACTAAAAATACTATGGGTTGGGTCAGACACACCTTAGTTCTCAAACTGACACCACCACCAAAAAGACAACCCAAACACAAAATGGGCAAAGGATTTGAATAGACATTTCACCAGAATTACATTCAAGTGTTCACCTAGTTTATGAATACATGCTCAGTGTTATTAGCCAGCAGAGAGATGCAAATCAAAACTACAATGTGATACCATTTCATTCCCACTAGGATTGTTGTTAAGTGCCATCAAGTCAGGTCCCACTCAAAGTGACCCTATATAGGGTTTCTGAAGAGTGGCTGGTGGGTTTGAGCTGCTGACCTTGCAATTTAAACCAACCTTGCAGTCCAGTGCTTATCCTACAGTGCCACATGAGACCAAAACAAAACAAACCAGAAGTTAAGGTCAAAACAGAAAATAACAAATATTGGAGAGGATGTAGGGAAATTGAAATCCTTATCTATTGCTGCTGGGAATGCAAAGTGGCACAGCTGTTGTGGAAAACAGTGTTCAGGTCCTCACAAAGCTAAAAATAGAACTGCTATAGTAGTTGTTGTTGTGAAGTGCCCTCTGACCCATAGCGACCCTGTATAGGGTTTCCAAGGAGCAGCTGGTGGGTTTGAACCGCTGATCCTATAGAACTCCTGCAATTCCACTACTAGATTTACACCCAAAAGAATTAAAAGCAGACACTCAAACAGATATTTAAACAGCATCGTTCATCACAGTACTAGTCCTAGTAGTCCAAAGGTGGAAACAGCCTAAAAGACCATCAGTGAGTGAATGAGTAAACAAAATGTGGGACATGCATACAATGGAATACTACTTAACAGTAAGAGAAATGAAGTCTTGATAAATGCTATATAATAGGGATCAAACTTGGAGACGTTTTGCAGAGTGAAATAAGTCAATCAGAAAAGGACAAATATTCTATGACCTTACTTATAAAAAGACAAGAACAGGTAAATGTATAAAGACCAAAGTTTCTTAGAGGTTACCACAAGCGGGTAGAGGGTGAATCTAGGGGGAGGAGGTTATTGTTTGTGGAGCACTGAATTTTGGTTTACAGTGGTAGACAAAACTCATTGACTAGGTATAAAGTTGCATAGCTAATTAATATAATTGCTGTCACTAAGTTGTACAACTATAAAATGCTTAATTGACCAAAAAAGAAGTTGCCATTGAGTCAACTCCAATGCATGGTAACCCCAAGTGTATTAGAGTAGAACATTTCCCCACTGGGTATTTGAAAAACAGGTCGCCAGGCCTTTATTTGGGGGCACCTCTGGGTGAACTTCCATCAACAACCATTTGTGCCACCCAGGGGCCTCCTATGTATGAAAAACTGAGTAAAATTGAAAATAGATCTTGCTTTAAAACCAACTTTTTTTTTTTTTTTAATAAATATTCAGTCGTTTGTTTTTTTCTTATAAATGATTTTCTTTCTTAGTGGAAGTTAAGTTTTACCAAGGAGGAATATGGGTACTAATTATTTTTTATTTTATTTTTTTGCTATAGGTAAAACTTTAGTCAAGAAGCTGACAAAAAAGGTAAGCAACGTGTATGTATGCATGTGTCTCTGTTTGGGGCAAGATAAAAAAAAATGAAATTTTGTAAGTTAATTTGAAATTTTCACTATGTGTATTCAAAGGATATCGAGGATATATTGGCAGGATTCCAAAAAGCTCATTGTGGACCTTCCTTTTTTAGAGACCTTGGTGATAAAGGTAATTTTACTTTGTTTTTTAAATTCCTATTTATGCTTATTATTTAACAGATGTATGAGTAAGGAATTAAAGTCTGAGGTTTGCAGCTGTCCATGAGAGAATGTAGGGTAGAGAGGGCATACAGAGAATGAGATGATGTCTTAGGTTTTTGAATAGATAGTTTTTAAATGTAATAAAATACTCATTAAGTAGAAAGTATCTTTCTTGAACTCTTTGGGCAATTACAGATAAATTATTTTTAAATCATCAGTGTAATTAAAGCCTGGGGGAAGAATGAGGCAGAATATCTCAATGTACTTTAGAAGAAGAGATGGCCTGAAAGAGAATTTGGAGGCACTCTCACCGTTACAGGCTTAGAAGGAGCAGTGGCCACGAGAGACTGCAGTGGAGTGAGTTAAGAAGTAGAGGCACACTAGAAGAGTTATACAGAAGCCAGGAGGAGGAAGGGGGCTGAGTAAGCCAAGGACTAAGAAATGGTCACTAATAACAGTACTAGTGAGAATGGCTTTCACTTAGGAAGCATCTACTGTGTGCTCAGTACAAGAGTTTATATACAGCAAGGCTTCAAACAATTCATGGAAAAATTAAATTAAAACTGAATGGGTATTTAAGGGAGATATTTTAGAAATTTGGTGGTTGGAAGTTGAATCCATTCTTCTAGAGTAGCTTCGGTTTTCTTTAAAAAGTAGGAAGAAGAAAGGAGTTTTAAGATCACTTCTGTGATAAGGGAGAGAACTGACAAGAGACATAGAGAAAGATTGCTGTGGCACTTTGAAGACTCTGAAGATACAGTAGATGGCGAAAGACTAGCGCCACCTATCAGTCCAAGTGTTGTGTGGGCATTAGCCAGCATCCAGCATGGAGGTATGGAAATGCCAGTAGTCTGTTGACCTGGGATTACGTTACTGAGTGTCTGGGATGTTGGAAATTTATGAGTGATAATATTGGTAACACTGGAAATTGCTTTGTTTCTTTGAATGTTTAATATTAAGTGGACTCATTAAATATGTAAATTAAATAGCACATTTTAATCATAATAGTGAAAATTTTAAAAGCTTTTACTTTAGGAAATTAATCATTACTTTGACCCTTCAGAGTTGATTTTAGGTATAATATTTAAATCCCAAAGACCAATATTTGGATCAAAGCTACTCTATAGCTTTGAAATAATTCCTTCATGACATATACTTTTCTTGAGATATTAAGACAGATACTGTTTACTAGATGTGAAAACTTAGTTAATACTGTTTGTGGATATAAACTTCTTGATTCTTGTATTTTGTTTTCCCTTAAAGAAAGGAGGTGGAGAATTCTCTAATAATTTTAGCCATTATATAATAATGACTCTTAGAACTGGAAATAGGCTAGTTCAGCATTTGTGTAAAGCACTATTTAACTTTAGTATGATTTTATAAATTCTGTTGAATTCTGTTCAAAGCTAATTATAAAAGAAAAAGCATACTAAGGAATCTGACTCCATATTTTGGGTCTTCACCTGCTTTTAAGTCCACTCCTCCCTCTTGCCCTTAGTGCTCCACAGCAGATAAGTTGATCCAGAAAGCCTGCACACTCCCCTCTTTGGCACTTGTGGGAGCTTCAAACCCCTGCCCTCTGCTGGAATTCCCACCCCTACACACAGTAAAACCCAAGTCAGTGTCCTTTCTTTGCTTTCAAACCATTTCAGACCTCCTTGAGGGGCCTGCCAGAGACCTCAGTTAGGTTAGTAGTAAACCTTTCCGTTGTCTCTGGTGTCATTAATCTTCACGTCAGGACCAAACCTCAGGTAGGGGTCAGCCGGCCTCATCAGGTAACCATAACAGAACATTGAAACATTTTTAAGACAAAAATATTTGGGATATAGATTTTTTATAATTCTTAAGAGGAAGACCCATTTTCCTGCACTTGAGAAGCACAGTTTACTTCTAATACAAGTATCTAGACAACCTTGTTGCCGGCCACTAACCTTACACTGGAAGCGCCTTAACTGCTGCCTGTTGACCCTCTCTGGAATGCCATTGAGATGCCCCTACACGACCAATCCCTACTCGTCTCACTCTGTGAAAGTCATCGCTGATGCCATTGAGCAGGGTTTATTTTTCTCCCTTTTTTCTTTCTCTCATGTTTTTTTTTCATGTTACAATGTCACTTGTCATAGTCTAATCATGCCATTCCTTATATCTTCCATATGATATTATTTTATCATCAAAATTAAGTCTAGTTAGCAATCATGATTTACAAATTTTAGAAAGAAAGTATCAATTATTTTTCAACATTTGAGTAAAAATGTGAAATTAAGTTCATCCATTTTTTATTTCATTTTTATTAATATTTCATTTTTATCTGAAGTATTTTTAAGGTACTGTTAAAAAACAAAGACATCACTTTGGTATGGCTGACCCAAGCCATGGTATTTTCAATCACCTCATGTGCATGCAACAGCTGGACAGTGAATAAGGAAAGCCAAAGAAATGATACCTTTGAGTTATGGTGTTGAGAAAGAATACAGAATAAACTATGGACTGCCAGAAGAACAAACAAATCTATCTTGAAACAGTACAACCAGAATGATCCTTAGACGTGAGGATGGTGAGACTTCATGGCACGTGATTTGGACATGTGATCAGGAGGGACCAGTCCCTAGAGAAGGACGCCATGCGTGGTAAAGTAGAGGGTGAACAAAGAAAAGGTGTAGCTTCAAGATGGATTGGCATAGTGGCTGCAACAACAGGTTCAAACATCTGTGAGGATGGCGCATAATCAGGCAGCGTCTCATTCTGTTGTCCATGAAGTCACTGAGTTGGAACTGACTCAGTAGCATTTAACAACATTTCTAAGATATACTGAATAAGCCATTATTCCTCCCCAGCTGCCTGAACATCTGTCACCATCCTGAATGATACAGCAACTATTCAGACCAGGAAGTTTATGGACCAGCCAACTCCTTCAACAGAAACAGTTGGTCATTGGTGTCTTTCACCCTGGAAGGCAACAGTATGGAAACCCAGAAATTTACAGAAAACACAGAAATTCAGGAAAAACTTGCCAGCATGTATAAGATCTCATGTATAAGATCCCAGATATCATCTTTGTGCTTGTATTCAGAACCCATTTGATAAATCATTGTCTGTCTTCGTGATTTAACTGTAGGTTAGGGACCATTTCTGTTTTCTTTCCAGTATATACCCAGATTGTATAGTATTTTATAGCATATACCACAAAATAGATGAGCATGAAAGAACTGTTGTAGTTTGCTTAGAGCCAAAATTCCTAAATACAACAACTCAGCAGTTTTGGAGCTGGGGCAGGGAGAACTTTCATAGAGGTCTTCTCTCAGATAAAAGTTGTTCTAAATTCTAGAATTATTGAGTAAATAAGACATTTTCTGAATCCCCTTCCTAAGTTTTTCTAGCCAGTATTTGACACACTTAAGAGTCTTTGTCTGCTGCAGTGAAATTCAACTGGAACCACCTAGACTCAAGAATCAAACTATTAAATCATTATAATGGGATGAACTTGAAGGAAGGAGCCCACTAATCAACCCTAACAAAGCACTGTAAGTTCTGTATCTATCAGGAGAGAGCTTCTGAGATTGACCAAACTTTGAAGACAGTGGGGAGGCTGCACAGTAAATGAAGAGTGATATTTTTGAAACATAAAGTATGATGTGGGAGTTGGGATTCAAAGAGCAGTAAGAAAATGAAGACATTAATTTTCTTGGTATGAAGAAGATAACGAGTAGTGATAGAGATTATATAAAACAGATTAATGGAGGCTTTGAGAGCAACAATGAGCTATAAAGAGTTACTCCAGGTTTCAGAACTCTCAAGGTGATAAATTGGTCAGCCTGCTTATGTATTTTCCTCATTGACGTTATCTCTTTCTGTTCTGTACATAGCTGGAGGAATGTTTATACTCTCCAAATGATCAGAGCATCAAACATTCTGAGTAATCAAGGTCTTCATGATGGACTCTAAGAAAATAAATACAAAATGGAAGTCCACAGCAGAAAGTTTGATTTTTGTTGTTGTTGTTGTTTCTGTAGGCAAAGTCAGTAAGGATATCCATATGAGAAATAGAGGTTAAAGGATGATTGGATAGGTAGGTAACTAGCTAGAAGCTTTAAGAGTAACTGGAAAGCATTAAGGGGCTTCAAAAGTTTGTGTGAAAAATCCATTCCTTTTTCATTCTATTTTTCAATGAACTTTTGAAACATCCTCATAATAAATGCAGGGAGTGCAGTAGCTCCAAAGGATAAGCACTTGACTATGAACTACTAGGTCGGCAGTTTAAGACCACCAGCCTCTCCTCAGGAGAGCGATGAAGTTTCTGCTCCCACACGACAGAAAGCTTTGGAAACTTCTATGCAAGATGGACTTGATGGCACTTAACAGCAACCACATAATAATAAACGCATGATAAAAGCAAGGATGGAGAGGAGTTCAGTTCAAAGTCAGGGAGAAAGGACACGGCAGGAGGAACCCTAAACTCACCCCTTCTCCTTCACAGAGTGTATGACAGAACAGTCTTCATTAACAAAGGACTGGCCATAAAAGCAGAAGGCAAAGATCTAACTTGACAAGAAGATTAAGCAATTGACAGAGGTCGTTGAACACATGGGGGAGGAAACGCAGAGTTGGCTAATTACGGAGATTCAGAAGTAGCAGACCGGACAAAATGGAACTACTGCCTCACTACTGGTCTGGCTTTCTTATACTTGTTTTATCCCACTCTGACCAGGGTCTCAGCCTTGATCCTTCACATTCTCCATCTCTCCAACATACCTACTTTGCCACACTCAAGTTGGGAGAAGCGTGCCCCTGAGGTTTGGACATTTTCACAGACTGGGTATTTGGAACCTCCTGATTTCTGTGTGTCCTGTAGTTTATAGGCCTTGTAAATCCTGCTTCCTCACCTCGTAAAAGATAAACTAGCGTCTGCTTCCAGAGTTAAACAGACCAAAACCAAACCTATGGCCATCAAGTCGATTTCAATTCATAAGG